TCTCCTACCATGGCGAGGCTTCAGTAATGAGAAAATATTTCAGGGGAATGTGGAAACAACAACTGACCTTTTAAAAAAGTAAAAATGTTTTCACAATAGAGTTATGCGAGTTACGTTTTTAGCATGGAAAGAATGAATAGGGCTTTTTAAAATCCATCTGTAGGTAGCTAAACTAAGTTTTGGTTTTTGAATGTCATATGTCAGATTTTTCAGTTGAAATCTATGTATGGATTTTGGAATGGGCATTTCCAGGTCTATATTTAAATTGCTTCTACCTCCATGTAAGCCTTCTCCACTTTAAGCAGACTGGCTTCCACAGGGATTGCTCCGTGCATGTATGCATGCATGTGTGCACGCTTTCACACAGGGAACCTAATTTAGTCAGTGACCGTATATACGTGGAAAGTGAGTCCTCGCATTTATGCTTAGGAAACTACAGAGGGGTGATGCACACAAGATTTCCCAAGCCAGCCGAGGAAATAATGCTGAGCATGTGCTACCCCACCAAACAAACTGAAATTTCATCAGCCAGTGGTTCAGAAGGGGGACAGGGGGTGGATTTAGTTTCTGTCAATTTTGTGCATCAGACTGGAGAGAAGAAGTGGCAGATCCACGCTTACACAGCCTTAGCTGCAGGGGGCTCAAGCATACCAAGTCTCTCGTATTTGGGGCAGCTTTCCTGGGTCTGACCTTTGTGGACTGTTTGAGGTTGAAGCCCCTTCTGCAGCACCCTGAAATTGCTGCTGCCGCCTCCACCACCATTGTCATCTTTGAGACTTAAACATAAGACATAATCAGGTCTGCTTTTCTCGTGCTCAGATTTGTTTGAGCAGGTGCAACTTTCTGCTAAGAGTGTAATTCTTCTTTTCTTTCTCTTTACCCCAAATTCCCTTCCCACTCCATCTTATGATTCACTCTACTCACATGAGGAATTAAAAGCCACCAGGAAGAAGATAATCCTTTTCTTTGTTTGTTTATGAAAAAATCGATCATGGCTCACCGCAAAAGAGAGAGTTTCTCTGGAGGATGCAGCCTGACAAATGATTGTCTCTCCATGGTTTGTACACTCAGAATAATCTGCTTGGCTGATAGGAGGGGGGTGATGGGAGTGACTGGAGTCTTCCCAAGAGAGGCGATGGGAACAATCAGCCTCAGCATAGGAAGACAGAAGTGAATGCTCGAGGGTCTGTCTGTGCACTCAAGGCCATGGCCATGTCTGTGCATTAACAGCACCGGAGGTAATCTTCCTTCCCAGGAAGGACAAGAGGGTTTGGACGTATTCTCTATGTATTGATAACTCCACAAACAGAGATCCCTGGCTTCCTAGCCCTCCTGCATGAGCTGAATAACTGGAAGAAAAAGCCAGTGAACTCTCACCATTGCTTTAAATGGATCTATATCAGCTCATCAGGCCTAGTGCAATCCACCCTGACTAGGAGAATTTCATCATCTTTTCCAATAGAGGCGTCTCCCAAGTCTGCTACTACAGATATATACTCTGCTTTAGAATTCAATATTTGTAGTCTGGAATTATTAGTATAGAACCAATTCATGTATTTCCAGTTCATGCTTTCTTGCTTGTATTCCTCTTTAAGCCCATCCTCTCCAAATTTTTTCATCAGTCTTTTTTCTCCCCTTTAAACAGTAGCATCAAAAGCACTTTTATTTTTGTTTGCAGTTTTCCCCTATATACTCAATATTGTTTAGATCTTTCCCTAATGCATTTCTGCATGTAGTTTTTCAGTGGGAAACTAATCACAAAATTTGGGAAGTGATTCAACATATAGTATTGGTATAATCCACATATTACTCTTGGAGGTGCAAATCAGGTGGGTTTACTTACAATTGGGGACCAGATGAAATTCTTTCCCATCTCTATCATCTAAGAACATGGGAAATAATGTCCTCTTATATCACTATCTTAATATTCCTTGCCGATTTGAAGGCAATTTTGGCATGCAGCCGTATACTAAATGAGCTCCTGCAAAATGAATAAATATAACTTCGTTGGTTATTGCTTGGATGGCGAAGTGGGAGGCCTAGTTCCAAATCTCTATTGAGCAGCAAAAGGTGTGGAACCGAACCTGGAAGGGAAGTCTGATTGCACCAATAACATCATCATCATCCGTATTATCAGGTATAAGAAGAGACCAAACCTGAGACCAAAGAAGAGACCAAGCACACCGTGTTTAGCTCCATGTTGTCCTGAGGTTGCCCTGCCTCTGTGCCTTGAAGTCTTGCTAAGAATCTTTCCTTGCTAGGACTGAATACAGAAATTATACTTTGCCTTTTCTGAGCTCCTTTATGCTTTTAAGTCCACCCCTTCCCTTAAGCCAGAATTCTGCACTGTAGCTACTACCTAGGAAATGATGCTGAGTGAGCTTTTTCTGACAACTGCTCAACTGGTTGCATGACCCTCAATGGAATGGTACACCCCCATTTTGCGAGGCTGGCTTTCTCTCCTGTGAAATGGATCTTTTGGCTGTTGGTGTGCAAATGGGTAGAAAAGCATGTGGTTAACCCAGGTGAATCCTGTCTTGAAGGTCCATTTTGGGATCACATCATTACAAAGGACTAAGCCACATCTTTAGGCTCTTGAAACGAAAGCTCACTGGGATAAGTAATACTCTTTATTATAGCTGCTTTCAGTTCATTATAAGAAAAAGTGGGATATAAATCTAATAAATAAATGTGTCTTTTTGCATTTTAGCCATTTTTATTTCATCTCTGTGAGGACAGGGTTAATGCATAGCTTGATGGAAGTGTTTCAGTGCAGCATCCCCAAAATTGCCTCCTTATGTATGGTGTATAGAAAGTGGAGTGGTTGAGACTTTTGTCCCCTTTTCCTAATACCAGAGCCTGGAATCATTCAGTGAAATTGAATGGCAGAAGTTTCAGGACAGGCAAAAGGAAGTGCTCCTTCTGACAGCGCATAGTTAAATTGTGGAACTCACTTCCACAAGACGTGGTGGCGGATGCAGCTTGGACAGCCTCAAAAGGGGGTTGGGCCGTGGAGAAGGCTTTCCATGGCACACTAGAGCTGTCACCTCCACGTCCAGAGGAAGCAAGCCTCTTGCTTTGGAGGGTGCGCTTGTACTCATGTCCTCCAGCTGGCTTCCTGTAGGCATCTGGTTGGGCACTGCAGGAACAGAATGCAGGGCAGAATGATTTTCCTGATTGTATTCAGTATGGATAGTCTATGCTGTGGCTTTGCATTTGTTACTGAAGGGGAGGGCTTCTTTGATTTGTAATCTGTAAAGACTATATTCAAATATATGCTAATGTCAGTAACCAAACTCGACAGCAGAGGTCCAGTGAATTGTGAAGCACAGGAAATGTACCTGTGGAAAAGGAGAGGACCGTTCATTGATTTGATCCTTGATCTCCTGGCAGAAAACCAACTTGTAACCAACAGAGTCAATCTATGTTTGTTATGCTTCCTTTAGTGGGAATCATTGTAACAGCTGTTGTCTCTCATTGGTGATTAGTTTCGCAATGCCATGCAATGGTAATTCATTATGGCTCTTCATAGAAGGCTAATAGCATAATAGAAGGGGGGGGGGGGGAGAGACAGAAGAAGAAGAGGAAGAGGAGGAAGAGGAAGAAGGCAACATGCATTAGCAAACAAACATCCAGGTCCAGTAGCTTTGGGAGGAGTTTTCCTTATTGTTTGTTAGACATGCCAGACCCAATAGACAAAATTTGGTTGCTGTCCAGTCTGCTTGACCAAGAAAGGCAGGATCGAATGTGGATGTAACCTTCGTGCAAAAAAAGCATGAAATTGCATGAGACCAATTCATTCAATAAGGACAATTAATGCAAATATATACATATGCTGCATGTGTTTTTCTGCTATTTGCATGGCTAAGGACCAGACCTCCTGAAGCACTGCTTCATACCCCATGAGCCTGCCTCAGTTTTAGGATCCCTGCTGGAGATCCTTCTCTGTGGACTGCCCCAACGGCGGCAAGTTGGTGGAGATGTGAGAACGGCCCGTCCTGGTGGCCACTTTGAGGCTCTGGAATTCTCTGCAGAGGGAGTCTGACTGACCCCCCCCCCCCATGGTCCTGCCAGCAGCAAGCAAAGAGAGTTTTATTCAGGCAGACTTTTAGCTTATATGCTGTCCTGCTTTGCAATCGGTTGACTGTTTATTCTTCTACTGTGTTGTGTTTTAATTGTGTTTTAACTGTTCTTACATAATGTTGTCATTAAAGAGCCTTTTTCAATCTGGATTTTATTGTTAGCTATTTTGTATACCTTGTGGGAGCAACAGAAAGGCAGGCTATAAATGAAACAAGTAGTAAATAAACTGGGTATGTTTAACCTTGAGAAAAAAAGACTGAGGGGAGATATGACAGCACTTGGAAGTAGTTGAAAAGCTGTCATACAAAACAAAGACATGTTCTCTTCTCAAGAATCCCAGAGTGCAGGACATGGAATAATAGTAAGTTGCAAGAAGCCAGATTCTGGCTGAATATCAGAAAAAACTTCAGGACTGTAAAAATGAGGTGACAAAGAGGGGTGATCCTGGGGGCATTCCAGATGCAGCTGGACAGCCATCTGCTAGGGTTGCCTTGCCCTGGAGAGGGGGGTTGGCCTTATTGCTCCCTCCCACTGGAGGGAATCACAGAGAATCATAGAATAGTAGAGCTGGAAGGGGCCGGAGGGCCATCGGTTCCAACCCCCTGCTCCGTGCAGGATTCCCGGTTAAACTGTCCCTGACGGACGGCTCTCCCATTGCCTGTGAATGCCTCCTGCATGCGGGAGCCCACAGTCCCCCCAGGTGATCCGCTCCTAGGCCATCCTGCACTAATGGTCAGAAAGGTTTTCCTGCTGTCCAGCCAGAATCTGGCTTCCTGATACTTGAACCCATTATTCTGCACCCTGCATTCTAGGATGATTCAGAAGAGATCCTGTCCTTCCTTTTTGTGGCAGCTTTCAAATACTTGCACCATGCTATCATAGCTACCCTCTGCCTTCTCAAGGCTAAACACGCCCAGTTCTTTCAATCTCTCCTCACAGGGCTTTGTTTCCAGTCCCCTCCTCTGAACCCTTTCCAGTTTGTCTGCATCTTTTTAAAACCAGAACTGCCCAGAACTGGATAGGACCAAGAATGCTACGGGAAGACTCAAAAAGAAAGTAAGCCCTGGATAGCTTCATTCTGATTTGCACATTACTCCAGGAGTTGCAGATCAGGACACTCAATTTCAGAAGGCAGGATCCGAAACTGCTGCCGCCATATCTGCCATGCTAGCAGGATACACTATTCACACACAGGAGCTTGCACCCACGAAAAGAATCTAGCAAACGAGTGGAAACGCTCATTTTCAACTGGGGCTGGTCAGCTTCACTGACGTGCCCTGTCCTAGGAATGAGTTACTGATTGCTTCAGGATCTGCTACACTAGCAGTGGCTCCCACTAGCATCAGAGCAATGTTGGACACAGCCCGCAATTCACAACAATACATCTGTTCTCCCTGCTCTCCTGGAAGAATGAGCGGGGTCAGAACAGGTGGAGCATTTCTGCACCTCCACACCATTTTGAAAGGAGCACTTCCTCATCTGTTCTGAGATCAGCTACCTTTGCTTTGTTAGGTGAGATCAGCTGTTGTCAGAGCCAGTCTGGAAAGAACTTCTGCCTTCAAGGGCTGGATGAGCAGCGGTATTTCTGTCTGCATTTCTTTTCTCCCTCCAGGAGCCTGGGACATGGTGATGGCAAATCATTCCCACTACCTTTACTGAGCTATTGATTGTTTTGAGTGTTGGACTGAGGATCTCTCTCCCTTGAAATATTAAGGTAACATTAGCAACTTTGTATAAAGAAAACTTGTATAAAATGTTTTATAGATGGTATCTGTGGCCAAATAGATTAGCTAAGATGTTTCCAAATATGTCAAATGGATGTTGGAAATGTAAACATAAATTGGATACTTTTTATCATATGTGGTGGACTGAGATAACGGGAAACAGTATTGGATTAAAATACATAAATGGCTTGAGGAAATGTTACAAAAACCTTTAGCTTTTAAACCTGAAGTCTTCTTATTAGGCACTATACCTGTGGACATTAGTATACAAGAAATGTATCTGATTTTACATGTAATTACTGCGGCGAGGATTGCATTTGCTCACACTGGAAAAGTGAAGAACTACCCACCGACGAACTGATTTTAAAAAAGATCTTGGTCTGTGCAGAAATGGATAGATTGACTTTATCATTGAAGGAGAAAGAAGATACTGACTTTTATCAAACTTGGGACTCTTTTTATTATTGGCTAGAGAAACGGGACTTCGTATAGATTTAAATATGTTTTTAAGTTATCATAAATGGAAAAAAAGTGTGGGGGCTGACCCAGCAGGCCCGATGTTTTTGATGATTGATGTTGTTTTTAGTTTTTCTTTGTTTTTAGGATTATAGTTTCAAATAAAATTTATTATAAAAAAGGATCTCTCTCCCTTCTCCAGCATTCCTATCTGGTGTCTCCCCCAGGAGATAGAAACTGTTTGGACCAAGCCCAATATGTTATTTCTTCTGTCGGCGACTTCAGCATCATACTCCCGCTGGCTCTTGGGAGACTGAGAGTCACACCAAGGCAGCATGACGTGCTGAGCAGTGTCTTTGATAACAAGCAACTTTATCAATAGGGCATCTCCATTCTTTCCAGATAGGAGGCGCCTGCACTCATCTTCAAAATTAGATAGTGCTATTTATAAAAGGTGAGATGACCTGATGACTGGAACGTTCCATAGTTGTCATAATGATGATGGTAAACTTGGGGTAAACAAGATACAGAGCCTGTTCCTTAGTTTCAGAGATACCCAGAGGATTCACGACCTGGTTGCATAAGCTGTGTGCTGTCTTGGACTCAAACAGAAGGCTTCCCAGGGCTGCAAAAGGCCTGCCCCAAATCGCTCGGTAGCTTTTGCAACATGGGCCAACATTTCCATGGACCAGCATACTGCTACTTTGGCGCTAATCTTGCTCATGGCATCACCCCAGTCAGTCAGGGATGGCCTGTTCAAGACATCGCTGTTCCACAACAAGAATCGGACTTGGCTTGCTCTCTACATCACTGAGCTCTAACTGTCTTCTCTCAGGTGGGGAAGATGGAACACCCTTCCCTTGCCCCGATTCAAGGCAGGTTGTTTGGAGAACTGATAGGGATCTTCACATCAGCATACAACAAGGTGTGTCCTGTTGTAAAAAGGACTCAGCTCAAATTCCCTCTCTATTTTGCCACCCTTTTCACCCCCTTTCTTTTTCAGCCAGTTTGGGAGGCCTGTGAAAATAGGGGTGAAGAAACATTTGCTCCACTTACTACAGTAGGAATTGCTGGCTGGTCACTGTCCCAGCAGCAGTGATTCCTGCTACAGGACACTGCTAAATAAATAAGTTTGTCATATGTACAAGATTCCAGAGTGGAGGCAGGAATCAGTCCCTTTATTAGAAGAACATAGGAAGCTGCTTCCCACTGAGCCAGATCCTTGGTCCATCTAACCCAGTATTGTCAGCACTTACTGGCAGCAGCTGCACAGCCTTTCTAGCATTGTTCTTTTCAAGCCAGAGCTGAAGAAGCTAAGAACTGAAGCTGGGACCTTCTGCATGCAAGGCAAGTGCTATGCCGCTCAGCTGCAGCCCTTCCATGCTGCTGCTGCTTCAGAGGTCATCTCACAGCCCGATCCCCTTGGCTATGCTGTACTACCACAAAGGTGAAATCAGAGTAAGGGCTCTTTCTCCTAGCCCTGGTCTGCAGCGATGCAAGTAAAACAAGAATGATAATAAAAATGCCATTCAGAGGCAGAAACATAGAAACAGAGTGAGTCAGAAGGGGCCTCCTGGGCCATCTAGTCTGACCTCTGGCACCAGCTGGCTCTGCTCATGACATGCCCTCCATGTGCATGTCAAGGGGTGCCATCCTTCCCAGAAGGACCATGAGTGGAAAGCGGGCCTGGAGGGCATTTGCCTGGACACTGGTGCTGGGCTCCAGAAAAGGCACTGGAACCCAGTTTTGGACGCTAGGAGGTAGGTGGGTGGGAGAGCAGGAATTCTGACTGGGGTCAGAAGTAGGAGCAGCAGCAGTAGGAGAGCCACCTGATGGGTTCCTTTATCCTGCTGCCAAGTAGAAGAACCTTGGTCCAGATTGGATGTGGAAACACTCCGGATTGATTGATTTCATTCTGCCTCTATGCTGCTCCATAACTGAGGGTTCTCTGGGTGGCTTACAAGATGCTAAATCAGCAGATAAACATAGAATCAGTAAAATAGATAAAAGCAATAAAATGTTATACAAGAGGGTAACCATTGTCATCTAGAAATGCCCCACATAGTGGCTCGGATTGCATGGTGCGTTCATCGTGAAGATCCAGCCATCCAGTGACCCAAGTTTTAATATTTTTCAAGAACAGCTCAGAAAACCCAAGAAGGGGAGCTGAGGGTAATATTTGCAATTCCTGTGGGGCAGAACCTGCAGTGATCCAGCTGTCCTGGTGGCTCTTGGCATTGCGCAGAGTGCTTTTGAAGAGCAGACCCAGATGCTCAAGTTATCTAGGTAGTTTTTCTGTCCTGTGTGTCGTCAAGTTATGAGAAACAGATCACAATTATGGAACCTAAGGGGAGCCAAAGTTTAGTATGTGAAAGGAAAAGCTCCTGTGAGATAAGAATATCACTCTTCTTGGAAGCGCTGGCCTACTGTTGGCTCCGGTCGCTTATTTGAACTGAGCTCTATAATTTTTCGGACTCTCTGTCTTACTGTGTTCTGTGGATGGTTGCCTGCCCTATCATTGCAGGTCACAGCAGATGTCCACTGATGCAATGAAAGATTCCTAGTACAGACAGATCACAAATCTGAAAGAGACCAGGTGAAAACTACATAGAAACAGTACATGACAAAGGAATGTAATCTGTAGAGGCTGCTACTCCATGGACAAACTTTGTGCAAAAACAAATCGGAAATGAAATTGACATTCAGTGACTCATCTAGTATTGAGAGTGAACCTGACACGGGAAAGCTATGCAAGGAGAAAGCTGTCATGTTTTGGTTTGTCTTTATGCACCCACCACCATGGCTTCCTTTCAAGGAGCTTCTGCAGGAAAAGGGTGTTAAAGGGTCATGATTTAAGAAAGACATGGGCAAGTTGTGGCCTTCCAGTTCCCATTGGCCCTCGCAAGCATAAACAAGAGTAAAGGATGATGGGACGTGTAGACTAAAACATCTAGAGGCACATCCTCAGTTTAAAAGAGTTATTTTAAAAGGTCTGTAATGGTGTTCATTGTCCTGATCTTGCTTGTATTTGTGCAAAGAACTAACTCCTCTGAAGAAACAGTTGACTTCTAACACAATTCTTTGCACAGTTGTGATAGACTAGACATGCTGTGTCCAGTTCTGGGCACCATATTTTAAGGGCACTGACCAAGTAGGGCAATTGCAGAGGAGGGTAACCATGATAGTAAGATATTTAGCAGAGGAATGGTTGAAAGACTAGGAACAGTTTAGGATGGAAAGGGAAGATTAAGGGGTGAGGGAGGCAGGAGAAGAGCTCAGGGATGCATGAAGGGAGCAGAGCAATTCTCTCTTGGTCCAGTGGGCAGGACGAGAACTGGTGGGAATGGTAAAGAAGCAGATTTTGGCTGAACATTTGGAGTTGCAACACAGCATTTTAAGAACAGAACAGATTGCTGGTGGGCTCTTGAGGAATGGAAGCAGCTGCTAGGCAAGCATCTGCCAGGGGTGCTGTATAGCATCAGTTCCCCACTTGTCCTCAAAATGTTCTGCGCTTCCACTCCCATCTCTCCTCGCCAGTATTACCAACAGTCAGAAATGATGGGAATTGTAGACCAACACATATGGAGGCACCAGCTTGGGTAAGGCTGCTGTACATTGAGAAGGGGGTTGCTCCAAATGACCTCCCAGGTGCCTTCCATTATCTCAGATATTCTCAGACCTAGCCCAAAGATACGTTCATCCCATAGAGTAAACCATACAAATGCATAGGGATTTTTTTTGCAGGGGGGGGGTGATATTGCATTTTTAGAAGTGTGCTGATTTAAAGTGTCTGTTTTCCAAGCATGAACACAAGTTAAGGAACATGTGAACTTTTCCTGAAAAACTGTGTTTTCATTCATGTTTGCATTTAGGTATGCAAAAAGGGTAAATTCAGGTAAAAACCAAAGCAAAATGAAACCCTCCTTTGTCTCTATCCCCCACCGGAGTGCAGCTCGCACAAAATTCTCCTGAGCAGCCCTTCCGCCCAGGGTGGAAAGAGATCCAAAAGCCCTGCTCCAAAGGATCAGCTCTGCCAAATTTCAGACAGATAGATAGGCGATCCAAGTAAAAAAGGCATGCAAACACTCAGCCTCGGTCCTGTTCAGAAGAACATCTATTTTAGTCCAAGCCCTGGGAACCAAGAGGAACGCAGAAAGACCAAAATAAAACTGCAAACACAAGGTGCTTTTAAGGCAGGCCCACTGATACTTGCGAGCACTGGGAGAAAAGTCCCAGAGCTTCTCTAATGAAGCACTAGAGAGGCATCTTAACCCAGTTAAAGAGAATCAAAGGCTGAAATAAATCTTGGGAATTAAGTCCCTTCTCCCACAGATCTGGGGCTACTTTGCAGACAAAGGTTTGTGCCATGCAAATTGCAATCGAAAGGAAGAGCCAAGGTGCTCTGGAGAATGTCTCTCTCGCCTCAGAAAAACTCACTGTAGCTTAAAAAAGGGAAAGGAAAACAGGGTGGATGACTTTGCTGCCAGGCAAATCAAGTGCTGGATGCCATCACACTTCATCCATGGCACAATCCACAATATCTGGGAGGTTCCAGGATCCTTTGGCATCCCAGCTCTGAGATCCTGTGACACCCACCCCATCCTGCCCCCTTGTGACTGGTATGGGAAGAGTGGGCTGGATGCTTGCCCAGGTTACAGATAGTCCCTGGAGGGGAACCAAGTCTGGGGAGGAGTCAGTGGCCGTGAAGCCGTGGCTGTTCATATCAGTGCCCCAGCCTCCTCCCTTCCTCCCCTCTCGCAAGCACTAAACCAAGATGGTGAAAAGGCAGGGCTTGAGGTGCAGCAGTGCTGTGCCTCAGTCTTGCCATGAGGTGATTAAGAGCCCCAGTTTGCAGGTGTATGAGCCTCTGCCATGGGGCTGATAGCGTTGCCCTGCACTTAGAAAAACAACTCTTGCTATCCCGCCCCACTGCCCTGCCATAAACACATCCAAAGATGCCTCGGTGTCTGGTGGTGAAGACCAGATGACCCCACTCCATTAGTGGGTAACTGTCAAAGTGCAATCACTGATTTTATAGGCTTGCCAGAGTGCCTCCCTTTTTGTTTACTTAACTTGGGCAGCCTGTCCAAGCTCACTTTAATTTAGAAGACCTGTCAAAGGTATCTAATTAGAGTGAAATGTAACTTTTCTTTATGATGCTGTGGTGGGTATCCAATCACTCTCCTATCCACATCAAAGTATCCAATCACCTTCCTGTGTATTATATTCACTTCCCTTTTGTGTATTTTATATAACCCTAATGGAATTAGCATTGGGTGTTCCTGTCTTGGGCACCCATGGATCCTCACAGAACAAAAAGAGGTTTAGGGGCACCAGACTGCCAATGGGTGAATTTACTGTTCATTACTTTAATAGAATTCTAATATAGTTATCTATTGTTTGTTTTGTTTTTATACCACCCAATAGCCAAGGCTCTCTCAGCTATAATAGAAACCAATTATATTTCTATCCCACCCATTCCCTGAGCTCTCTGGGCAGATTACAAGACAAAACTCAAAATCATAAAATGTAATTGCAGAATAAAACGTTACATCAAGCTGCTCCTTTAAAACAGAATCAAGTGACCAAGATAAACCTCACAGCAGTGGGAAGAGCTACAAACAGAACTTTTGAAACTGAGAAGCTGCAAAGCCAGAGGATATAACTTTGCCTGAAGCTGGAGAGGTTGCAATACAGGCCAAACTCTCTGGAGAAGGCTTTCCGCATGGGAGAATTGCCAGTGCTGCAAAGGCCGCTCCTTAGCAGCACCTAGTCTGTCTTATTCAGCGAGGCCTCTGAAGATGTTCCTACAGTGTGGCTAGAGAGATAGACCAACTGATGGATCGAGCAATATGAGAAAGACACGACCCTTCAGGTAAACTAGTCCCCAGCCACTTAGGGCTTTGTGAGTTGCTACCACAACTTTCACTTTGGCTCCGTACTGGGTATAAAGCACCGGTACAATCTGAGCATACTGGTCAATCTCTGTTAAAAATCCTGCTGCTCTACTTTGCAGCAGCTGAAGTTTCAAGATCATTTTCCAAGGCAGCTTGGCATATAGTATATCGCAGAGATCCAAATGAGAGGTTATCACATGGTTATAGCTAAGCTATTTCTGTCCAGAGAAGAACTCAGTTGGTATCTCAGCCTAAACTGGTCAGACTTGCTCCACGCCACGGAGTCCACTCGTGCCTCTGGCGACCAGGTTAGATCCCAGAGCAGTCCCCCGCTATGAGCCTGAGCCACTTGTGGGTGTGCAGCTGGCTTCAGAACAGGTCGAACGTCAATCATCCAAGCACAAGAAGCACTCACTAACAGCACCTCCACCCTGTCTCAGTTTATTATTAGCTCTCATCCTGTCCTTCACTCTAGTCAGGCCTACTGCAATATTTGAGGCAAGGGAACGGATGAGATTATTTGCCCCAGGAGCCCCCAACTTTTTAAATCCTTCTGTTATTAACTCTCAAAGACGTTTGCAATTTAGTTAAGTCTCCCAATCATCGCCTTTTAGCTATTGCTTTATTTACAGAGCATATTATTTTACGGGGACAGATGTTGCTGGCTCGGCATATTGCGAACTGGGAATCCCTTAATGAAGGAAAAGGTTAATTCATACCTAAGACACATGTAGAGTCCATATGCTTTCAGATTTGTTCTTGACATTCATGGTAAAAAATTGACTCATGGGAGGTGGAGGGGGAATTAAAGAAATAGTTGGCCTAAAGAGAGATAACATCCGAGAATTCTAGGGTTTTGCTACATGGGTCTTTTAACTTGATGCTTTACCAAAGCTGCTACTTTCATTTTCTTTGCAGGAAGAAGAAGGACCTGTTAAGCAAGGACTCCCCCCGCCCTCCCAAGCTCCTCTTCTCTGCCTTCTGTAGGTTCTTACATGCTCTGTTACACAAAGCAAGCTGGTGTTGTGGTACAGAGTGGAATTTAAAATCCACTCAAATACTGCATTATCCTTGCTTTAAAAAATAAAGCTACAAAAATTACTAGAAAACTTGGGAAAGGCTTTGAACATTAGGTAAAGAACCCATAAACGTCTGTGGAGTGAGGGCTCAAGAGCATATCAAACAGTGTCATGTAGAGCACTCCTACTTAAAAGGTTTTTCAGACGGTTGGCACAGTAAATAAATGTAGGTCGAGGAAAAATGAGAGGGAGGGAAGAAGAGAACTCAAATATTAACAAGATCCATTACATGATTTCCCTTTCTTTTCTGTCTTTCCCCATTTTGTTGCCCTTGTTCTTGTTTTGCACAATACCTAGTTTTTTTGTTTGGCTAGTTATTTACTGGTTTACAAGTTAATTCAGGAAATGATTAGTGTTTGGCTCTTCTTCGGACAGACCAGGGTTCAGTCCATGAAGCGCCTTCTGGGAGAGGAGGGACTTAGCTCTCAGAAGGTCTCTCTGCAGGACCTTGGGAGATACCACCCAGAGGAGAGTTTGCACACATACCAGGACTTCCTGCTGTGTGCAAACTCTCCTGCTTCTTCTGCAGCATTTTCAGGGGCTGGAGTGTCTGCCACTTGAAGCAGAGGGCAAGGAAGTTCACTGCCATCACTACAGCTGACCCACTGTAAGTTTCGATCCAACTCATAACCTGTGTTTTGTAAAGTGACACTTTTCAAGTCCATCTGCCTCAATCCAAATCTGTTTTAAAAACTAGTTGTGGAACTCAACAGATCTATGTGGAATTGAAAATGACAGCGCCCAATCTTCCTGGCAAGAAATTATGCCTGGAGGCCTTTGCTACCACAAGGCTGCCCCAATACAACAGGAAGCAGCCGTTGCAAGAGTAAATTTGAGTATGGAAGGACTGGCTCTGCAGTAAGGCCTCCAGTATGACTTCAATGTGTGCCCATGTGGGGTTGTCTTTGACTCTGGCTCAAAATGGGCTTGGGAGTCCCTATTCTGAACCTCCTGACCTTCTGGTCATCTCCATGAGCAAGCTTAGCATCCCCACTGGATGGAAGTGACTCCATGGGATTTTTGAAGCAGTGGCTTGGATGAATGAAACTGACTCTAGGATTTGATGACAACCTAGGAGTTGCTTTCAGATCAGACACTAGAAACTTCTGCTCATATGTATGTGGAATCTCAGCAAGCAAAGAGAAGTTTAGGGCCTTCATCTACATCACCATGGTTTATTTCATGAACTATTTCACAACAAATATTCCATGGAGCGCTCCTTCACTCCAGCTGGGCTTCCCTCACAGGCAAGGCCTCCCATGGGGATGCACTTGAGAGCAGCTAAGGAACTCATGTAGAGGCACAGTTGTAAACATTTGGGCAGAACAAACTCCTTCCTGCTGGGCGTACTTTGTAGGGGTCAGGATGGAGTGGCCTGTAGTTTTACATTAAAAAAATAAACTGTTCCAGTGAGTGGCAAGGAATGGCATGCGTGAGTGTTAAAGCATTATTCTTTGGAATTGATTCAGCAGGAGCCCTGCTCTATTGTGACCTCAGTGCTCCTAGTATAAATGCAGTTAAGAACATATTCCATCTCAAACAAAATGTTCTCCCACAGAGAGACCTTAAACGATAATCAGATTTGCTGGAGAAGCTGCATCACTAACCTCTATTTTACGGTGGGAGGCTGCATCATTTCTGAGTCCTTCTGCTGTGCATTTCACACCGAGTTTCACAAGAAAGTGATTTCCCCTTGAGGTTCAGGGGAGCTAAAGCAGCCTAACTTTTGCTAGTGATCATCTTATCATAGTTCCTGATCTTGCATATTTTGCTAGGGGCTGAAGATTTTGACTCAACCCATCAATAAGGTCATAGAATCATGAAGCCCATAGTAGGCACAGAGGTCATATGGTCATAGTCTCCTCCACTATGGTGAGTGCACTGTGTTTATATCTAAATTATAGTTATCTCTAAACACTCATCATACATACACACATCAGCCTCAAAGGCTGTCACAAAGAGGAAGGCTAAGATCTCTTCTTGCTGATGCCAGAGTGCAGGGCACCAAATAATCAATTCAAGTGGTAACAACCCAAATTCAGGCTAGACCTCAGGAAAAGCTTCCTCACTGTCAGAGCAATTCAATGGTGGAACCAGCTGCCCAGAGAGGATGAGATAAGAGGATGTTGTGATGTTGATGCTGTGAGGCTTCTATTTGCATAGTGTGTCTGAATTACAACAACTTCATTTTCATCCCTTTTGCTTCCAGAGAAAGCTCTAGCTTGATTTGATCTAGGGCCCACCTGTTTGTCTTTCTAATGTTCCGGGGCATTTGCAAAGCAGCAAGTTTTTCAGCAGCAAGTTTCAAACATGCCAATTTTCTTTCTGACAGCTTTCTTCACTGCCCAGATTTCATACACATTCATAGTGAATGGGAATACAGTAGTTTGGATGATCTTGACCTTGGTCTATTAGGAAATTAGTTGTGTGATACATACCCCCTGCCAAAATACTGAAGTTCTAATAACTTGGTGATTTTCTCTGTAATTCTGAAGTGGCCATTTAGACATGAGGGTCAAAATTGCTTCAAGGACTAAAATGTAGATTCTTAGAACTGATTTCATTTATGTAGAAAATGTATACAAAATTTTTTAGAAAGGAAAAGAAATTCCCTACTGGTGACTGTAATGGAGCAGTGGTATAAACACCATAAAGCAGCTTTGCAAGTTGCATGAATCAATGAAACACAATTAAAACAGTTAACAAGAAAGGATAATAGCAGGAAAGGGAACCCACATATATCTCCTGCAATGAGCATCCTAGTTTGGGGCACAATAACAATTCGGAGTGTCAAAGCCAAAAGAAATGACTTGGCAAGATGGTAAAATGCGAATAACGGTATTGGCTAGCAAGCCTCCTGGGGAAGTGAGTTCGACATCCCATGAGGCCATGCAGCCCCAGCCAATGCCAGTAACAGTGCATCTAAGTGTGTGGCAGGCAATCACTGGCTTTCTGTCATAGGAATGATACCAATCAATACATATAAGAAAATGCAGGTAGGTGGTCTAAATATAGACTCTGTCCACTACACAGCTGGGGGTTTGCTCTTCTTCATTTATTTATTAGAGCCAGAAGAAAAATCAGGCACAAGGCCACAGACGTCTGGTTTTTCCTGTTCAAATTGAATTTGTCTCTAACTTCTATTTCAAGAGTTTTCTGCTCCAAGATTGATTAAATAATACAATAGAAATTATTTACTTCCCTCTCCAGCAGAGAGGGTGAAGATTATCCAAAGCCACAGTCATGTTTGCCTTCTGAGCTTACATTTTAAATCTTCATATTCAGCCATCACTGGGTCTATTAAGGATCTGAATAAATGGAAACTCACGCAGTATTTTCCATCTATGTATGCTCTCAATGCAATCAGCAGAAATCTAACTTAAAAGTGCAATTTTATACTTGTCTGTGCTTAATCCCAGGAAAGTGTGCCTTAGATTGCAGCCTCACTCCAACATCTAATCATGTATTGAGTATAAGCCCTTCCTTTGTGCAGAACCTGAACTTTCATCTTCCTCAGTTCCAGTATGAATAGATTAAAAAGCCTATTTTTATTCCAGTCATCACTACTTTGCTGCATTGATGGCAGACAGGTTTCACCTTCAGTGACATCAGCTTGCAATTACACCAGCATGAAGCAGGCTTCAGCACTTCTCCATACAGCTGGGTTTTTCATTTTTTAAACCGCAGCCCCCTTCAATTGTTTTCTTTCCATCCTACCCCAAAATGTCCACCATTCCATAGGAAAGGGTGTGGGATTTTCTGCATGTAATTATATGCATACAGTTTACTCCCTCATACCTGTATCAGAGCATGAGTTTCTACTACAAGGCTGGCATTAAAGGAAGACAAAGATGGGTAATGTTGTCCTCTCCAAAAGTCCTTGAGCAGGGAAGCCTTTGGACAAAGCAGCCGCGGTTTCCCCCTAATTACGTTAGGCTGTTAAAATCTCAATTGCTTCACGCTAGGCAACCTGGAAAAAGTTTGGACTGTCATTGCCTACATGGAGAATTTGTGAATCAATTTACAAAGTTCCAGGAAAATAAATCCACATACTTTGCACCTATGACTTTTACTTTGCTTCAGTATAGGAAAACAATATATTTCGAGCTTTAAAAAATGGCAGTTCAGTACTTTGCTAAATGAATTTTGCATACTCTCCAAACAAGTGAGATAATTTCTTACAAACTGTGTGATTTTCGTTCAGTCTCTTGCCTCAGAGTTTTCTCATAATAAACTGCAATCTATGCACTGCAAGAACATGTTATTGCAATTACCCCAGTAATGCAAGTGGCTCTCCACTCCACATAGATTGCCATTTTGGGCTCATGTGAATGGACGTATTCAATGTTTATGCCTCTCAGTTTGGACACAAGCACATTCATAGACCTGCCTGAGGTTGGGGCATCGGTGTGGAATACTGAATTAAAATGTATACAGCATTTGCATTGTTGAAAGTATGGGGATTAGCCCAGCACATGGATAAGGAGTCGAACACACAATCTCATTAAAATATTCATTGTTTTGGTTCTATAAAAACCATAAAAGACTGTAGAATATACCAAAAAGTGTGCTACAGTAACAGACAAAACTGCCAGGAGATGAACCTAGATGCAGTTGGAAGCTGTCTGTTATATGGAATTTACTAATAGAATAGCATGTTAAAAATGACAACATCATTAAGTAAATCCATAGAAATGAACCAGAAGCCAGAGGAAATTATTGTTCATTAATTCATTCTGCTTAATTGCTTCAAATTTTGACTGCAGGTTCAAAAGGTAGACAACATTCTTCTGCACCTTCCGAACCTTCAGTGAACACAATAATTTCCCTGAGCACTGTTTTTTGTGTAGACCCAGACAGTAATGAAACTAAGGGAAGAGACTTTGACTTAATTTTGAAAAGAAGATACAATTATTCGCTCCAATCCAGTGAGAACGAATGCCTTTGGAAACAAACGTTCATCCTGAAGTTGACACATTGTACTGAGGACTCAGTAGGATAAAACTGAAGCACATGAGCAAGTATCTTTACACTGAATAGCTAGCCTAAATATTCATATAGTATGGTGGATGCATGGACACCATCTTGGTGATTTTCATATCAGAACAATTATCTCTCTGTGTGTGCATGAATTAAGCTTTAAAAGACATGTTTTATTAAATTAGCTCCTTAGAAGTGCTACAACAGTAGTCTGCAACCTTACT